ACTACAAAAATAGAGAGAAAGGAAAGCTTATAGTAGAAAATATAAGTAAAGTAAAATCTACTCATAGAATTTTTTTTGGTACTGTTTTATCTCCAAAGTCCAATGTCACTTACAATTGCTTTGTAAGATTATCATGGTTGAGAAAGACTTTGACGTTCTACCGCACCAGTGGCCTTCTCTATTTTTATACACAGGCAACAAGCCCTTTGAGCCTTGCTAGCTTTTTTGTATTCCTGCTGCTATTAATAATGATGGACAAATTACATGGGCCATAACAAGTGAAAGGCCAATTGTCTAGATCATGAAGAGGTGAAAACCGGGTCACTTCTGATCTTATACTTTTCTTGACAATCCACAGATTCAGATTGTGTTTCATGTCTTTGGAAAGGTTTAGACGTGTCTTATCTCGACTTGTATCTGTAAACACAATAATAATTAATAACAATACTATAGGACTATTGCAAATACTAAATGCTTTGGGAGCCTCAAAGGAACAGTGTTAAGTAAGGACACAACATTAGTATTAACTGTGATAAATATTGCCTGCAGCACTGAGCATGCATTCATACATTCATTCATTCATTCCATTTGCATCCAAAGAACACACTGGGCCAAAGCCTGAGGTCTCCATCCAGATTTTAACCTAAGTTTTACTTAGATTAGCCCTAGGTAAAAAACAAGGTAGGCAAAATTTTCTAATAATGCTAAATGAATGATTCAAGAGATCTGCCTTGGTTGTGCTAGCCTGTTCACTACGAAGATTGTCAGAAAAGGAAAATGAATAGTACCCCTCTCACCCTGTTTAGTTTCTTGATGGAAAGTAAGGAGGGTCTGAAACAACCTTTTTTGTCGTTGTTGTTGTTGTTTCTTTTTCTGCTTTTTACATCAGAAATTTGCATTGTTTTTACACTGCCAGACCAATGAATAAAAATTACAAGGCAAGGTTTTAGTAAAAGGTCTAGAACTGAACACAAAGGTTTTTAGTCGATATTATATTGAAATTTTTTTGCCGCAAGAGGTGATACCCCATCCTTGGAAACATTCCAGGTTGGGTGGGAACGGGGATTGGACTCAGTGACCTTTTGATGTCCCTTCCAACTCAAACTATTCTATGACACCCTTGACTATTCCAGACTTTATGCTGTGTAAGTTATCCAAAGGATCCAAAAAAGTACCTGGCTCTGGCAAACTGGCAACTTTTTTTGGAGATAATTGATTTCATCAGTCACAGCATTCCTGTCTTTGTGTCTTGCACCATTTTCCCTCTTAGCTCCCAAAGGGGGAGGTCTGAGGCTGGCCCCCGGAGCACGTATGCCTCCCCACAGCCGGTGTATTCCCTCTGGGATCGCTGCCAGTTGGTGTAGGTTAGAATAGCCCTCAGGCTTCGTATCACCCGCTCTCCCTTTGCTGAACTGACTGAACAATCTGCCAGTGAGTGGTTCCATTTTGAGAATAGTGTGTATGACAAGTGTGGGGGTGATCCTGGATGATTTGTAATAGTTTGGGAAAGGCTGTCACTCGCATGGCGTGTTTGCATTATGAGCAGGATAAATATTTCACTCTGAGAGGTCTGTCTAGTTAGCAGAATTACACATCGAGGCAGTAGCAAATTGTCCTTTTATCTGAATACAGGAAGGGTCTTAAGGATGCTGAGAGAGAGCAAGTAGTGAGGGGAACACAAGGGAGGGAGCTGCAGCAGGCAGGTACAATCAGGCTGGTTCATGAGACATGTGCTTGGGTCCCTCCCTGTGCTTTGCTGGCCAAGCCAGGTGGGAAGAGTTTGCAGGCAAGGAAAAGACTGGATGACCTTTACATGCTTGAAATGCGTATGCTAATTTTGAATCTTTCTTGCTCTACTGCATTATTCCAGCTACTAAAAGTATTCATTATAATAATGTGTTGGTCAGTATGTGTATGCCTGCATCACATTATACATCCTCCAATGTCAGCTTGAGTTTCGGGAGCCAAGCAGTGGGATCCAATTACACCTGTACAGACAGTGAGGTGGAGCATGAACATGAGCTGGTGCCTATGCCTTTCATGGCAGGACGATAAAAAATAACTCACAGAACTGTGTCCCGTCCCTGAGAACAAAGAAAGGTCCTTTTCTGGGGAAGGGGCGGATTATCAGGTGTGAAAGGTAAGGAAGGGCCAACGCAAAACTTTCAGGATAAGACTGGAAGAATGACAGGATTGTCCCCGGGGAGAAGTGCATGGGTGTCCATAGCCTAAGAAAAGGCAGAAGCAGAGCAGAGTAGAGCTGCCTGTTACCATGACAATAGGCAACAGAATATCTGTGTGTTGAACAAAAAGATTAGCAGTCATCCAGGAAAGATTCTCATCAAAACCCTACCTTTCCTACAGTTTAATGAGCAGAAATTTAACCTTTTATTTGAAACATTGTCAACTCATTGGAGTCTCACCTTCCCATCCCACTGGCAGCTAATACATCCTGTAGCAACTACAATTTTTGTGTATTACAACATTTTTCACATCCATCTGAAGGCATACCAGAATTTGATGATAGTCCTAAAAGTGATGTGAATGTGAGGAAGAACTTTTTCAGGAAAAAGAGTCTCTCTTAGTTTAAAATTTTGCTCTGTAACTCCAGTGAGCCCTGAATAAATCTGTATTTTTACCCTTGATGCGACTATGTGGCTGATCTATTAATTCATTATTGCCTGTCATATTTGCAATCCTTTGCATAAGTATGAAATGGTTGTAAAATACTGTCACACTGAAGAGGTGATATTTTACCTCCACTTTGCATTGTTATAGTAATGACTTCTGGTTCAGGGCCTTGGTTTATAAGATGTAATGGCTTTTTCCACTGGAGCTGTTTTTGTGATCTTTCAGCTCTCTCTGCTCTCATGGGGTGAAGAGAATGATATATCCAAGACTGGCATGTGCTGAGGCCTCAAACTGTCTGCCATGTGCTCAGTGGGAAATGTGAGCTTAAAGTTAAGCAAAAGGTAGAGTAACCAGGGTGATGGGCTGAGCTTGGTAAAGGGACAGCTAATTAAAAAAAAATCTGAAGACGAACAAATTGCTCTCAAAGTATAATGTTTTAGTGGATGCTCTGTACTGCAAATAAATTGCTTATTCTCAAGTGGTAGGTAATTCTAATTTGTGTTTGTCCAACGCATAGGTCTGTATGAACCTTATGAAGCAAATAAAAGGGATGAAAATGCACTGATCTAGATGTACAGACACACAAATGAGCAGGTTCGAGTGGCTTTATACAAATACCTAGGACAGTTTGTTTGAAATATTCATGCCAAGCTGTTACTCATCTTCCCAAATATTCATTTAGATTTTTTAGGCTCTTAGAGGAGGTATAATCAAATATTTGTAAAGCCTGCATGCGGCACTGCTGGTGGTATTGTGTTTTGGACTCTCTACCATGAAGGCAGAGCTATGTGGGCTGTTTCTGTGCACTCTCTAACAGGGTCTGTGAAGCCTTCTAATTTGAAAGACAGCTATTATTTTGCCAAAGCCTGACACAGTGAGTGTTCACATCCTGATTTTCATTACTTTCATTTTTGGTGACTGAAAACCTCGGTCTGTGTGCTGCAGAAGTTTTGTTCTAATCAAATTTTTTTTTTTTTTTTTTTTTTTTTTTTTTTTTAAACTTTACTCAGCTACTGTTTGCATTAGAAGCAAAACAAAGGCATGAGGATTGAAATTTCCAATCAGGTTCCTTTTGCATCCATAGTATATCCAAGTCTCATTACTTTCTCTTCCTACATGACATTATTCATAAGATACATTTGTTGATGACTTTTTGAAAGTTTCCTGGTAGTTTTAGAGAGTCACTGTTTGGCCTCACTCACACTTTGTTTTTTTAATAATAATAAGTAGTGACAGGCTGTTTCTTGAAGTTTAGACAAGGTTTTATTGTAGTAAGTGTTGTAAATAGACCTTTTATTTCACAATCCTCTGCTTGAACTGGATACAACAAAAGAATTACAACCCTACACATTAGTATATATATTCTGTATAAAAATCTATAAAACGTAATGAATTATCATAAGAAGGAAGTAATCACTCTGTTTCTCAAACATAATAATCTTTAAGTACCAGCAGGAGGACTGTAAACAACATCTAAGGGGCAATTTCTGCGGTGTAAAAATTGACAGATGCAAAATTTGCCTAGAGATGCTAATAATTTATGAGTTATGATCCACGTAGTGTTTGGCAGATGATTCTTCATACTCCAAAGTAAAGAGAGGTCGTTGTGAAATAATGGCAGTTATTGTACAAGGCTCAAGTTGGCATGTAAGTGTTTTCAAACACTTCTTCATGTCTTGGAAGTTCAAAATGTGTCAGTATGAAAATCAACATTGTAGCACATTCAGAATCCTGATGTGGTCAAACACAAAATGGACTGATTAATTTTTGGTTTAAGAACTTAATGTGCTTTTAAATATTGGACTCCACCAGAGTTCAGTTTAAAGCTGAGTGTTGAGGTGAAAAGAAGAAAATTATCAAAAATTGTGTCAATATTTTAGAAACTCTGACTCTGACTAAGCCATAATTCAGAATACAGAAATATGGAAGGAGAATTCAAAAATCACAAAGTGCAACTTTTAAGGCCCTGTGTGGAGTGCTGTGTCCAGTTCTGGTCTCCTCAGCACAAGAGAGACATGGAGCTCCTGCAGCAGGTCCACCAGTGGGTGACAAAGATGATGAAGGGACTGGAGCATCTCTCTGACAAGGAAAGGCTGAGGGAGCTGAGCCTGTTCTTCCTCGAGAAAAGGTGACTGAGAGGGATCTCTGCCTGTCAGTGTCTGCAGGGAGGGGTCAGAGAGTGGACCAGGCTCTGCTTGGGGGTGCCCAGAAATAGGACAAGAAGCCTCGGGCAGGAACTGATGGCCAGGAAGTTCCACCTGAACGTGAAGAAAAACTTCCTTCCTGTGCAGTGACTGAGCACTGGAACAGGTTGCCCACAGAGGGTGTGGAGTCTCCCTCAATGGAGATATTCCAGAATCTTCTGGACGCAATCCTTTGCCATGTGCTCTGGGATGACCCTGCATGAGCAGGAGGTTGGACCAGATGACCCACTGTGGTCCCTCCCAACCTGACCCATCCTCTGATTTTGTGTTAACTCCCATTTAAACAGTCTAAGTTCTGCAGCTCCACAAATATCCCCCATATGTCAAGTCAAGGTGCATATCCACTGGTGTCCAAATTCCTCCTCAGGATGAGATCTAGTTGTGCAAGTGCAAGACATGGATGGATGGGCAGGAGGCAGCTGCAGTGCTCTGGGAAAGTTCAAGGTAACTGTCAGACCAGGAGTGTAAAACATGCCATGAAGCATAACTGCCCCACAGTCTAGACCATGCCATTAAGGCTTAGGTACTTAACAACTTGAATTCCCCTTGAAATTCCTTTGCTGGTGTCTAGAGGAAGGAAACCATAGATCTCAGAGGGGTTTCATTTCTGCTTCTAGTGACATTCAGCAATGTCATCTTTGCTAGGGATCTTTAAAGCTCAGTTTAGCTTGTTGCGAAAGGGCAATAATGAAACCCACTTGCAAAATGAATATTTAATTTTGAGATAGCTCAATCACTTTGAACCAAAGCATTCAAATATGTAAAACACTTTTGCCTTGTGAGCTGCACAAATGTGCCCCACTGCTCAGGGAATGGCTGGTGCCTCTTGTGTTGCAACTGTGATTCAGTGAGCTGTTCTTGTAGTTCAAGACAGAAAATGTAAAATGTAATCAGCTGGGATCCTGATTACCTTTGCCCATGTTATAATGAGACCTTTGTGACAAAACAAAAAGTTCTGAACAATACTGTCTGCATCATCCTCACAAGCCAAGATTAAAATAGATGTTCTGTTATGTTTGGGAAAGTCTGGTGGCCTGATTTTCCAAAACACTGTGTGTCTGGAAGCAACCTTTGTATTCAAGGTGCAAATGATACAGAAAGAAAGAACAATTTATTTGCAAAGAGTAGCCAAATTGGAAAAAGTTAGAAAATGACTTTTACGAAATGAGTCCTTCAATAAGCCATGGTCAATAACAACTTTAGCAGAAGGGAGACTAAATTTACTAGCATATATGGAATGAGTGATTTAATCTGTCACTGAATGACTGCCAGTGCTGGGGTGGAATGCGGCAGATGTTTTTCATGGAAACTTTAAACATAATTTTCCAATAGAAAGTGAAGCATAATATTGTCTCTCATAGAAATAGCTGGAAAAACTTCAGTGGGTCCGGTAACTACTGCCTTCTTCCTAGTAATCCCATTTACACCCTTCTTTCTCATTTCAATTTTAAACCTTTTTCTAGTAAAGAATCAAGGTATTTATGAATAAGGTAAAATCATCATAGTAAGCTAATGGAATTAATTCTGCACAGTAGCAACAGAATTAGCTACTCTGAGTTGAGTAAGCTTCTGTACTATGCAAAGCCTATATATTTAGACCTTGTTACTTAACTACTACATAGATGGGAGCACAAACACTTGAAAAAAGTACTCCACAACTGCAGCACCAGGTATTAGAGGCAACTTAGGTAACTATTAAAAGAAATGGTGACCTCTGGTGCAGCTGTTCTCATCCTTCTGCAGAGGATCCCTTTGGGGTATATCCGAGATGGGCTCTGTCCCTAGGGTTGTGCAATACCAGCTCAAATCCTCTGAAATATTCCGTTTTTAGCCTAGAAATGTCTTTATTAAGATGTACAATAAGAGAATGCAAAGGATTGTGACCCATAAAGGTCTTGTTTTACCTACAGTTTCCTAGGATTAGACAAGAGAAGAAATATTTAGTGCCATGCAAAGTTATAGGGAAGGCTTTCCACAGATATGTGTGTGCATGGGGAATCCACATCACAAAATGCTTTCAGAAGTGAGCCAAAAGTTCTAAATTACCATTTATATTGTATGAATGCAGGAAACAGAAGAATAACAAACAACAGTACATTAATCCTGTTGGTAATCGTATTAATTTATTTGGATAAGTATCTATACAGGTTTTAAAAGTCAAATACATTTAGGAGTTGATATGGATTATCCCCATGCCATGGAGATATAAAGAGAGTGTGCTTGATTAGTTATAAAAAGAGAGAGGAACCATAAGCCAGTCCACAGCCCCCACAGTGTTGCTCAGTGTAGAGCTATTCCAACTCATTTAAAATGGCTCAGTGATGAGGTTTTCATTACTTCCTCTGGGAGATTATTCTACAGAATTGCAAATCTCAGAAATGGGAAGTGTAAATATTCCCTCAGTTAATTTAATTAAGCTACTCTCCATTCTTGCCCTCTCACCACCTTGTGATTTCTCCCTTTTCTCCCTTAGCTTATTCCTCTAAAACTATATGCTTGAATGGCCACTAATCTGACTGGGGACAGGGAGCAATGCTCCTGTCTTCAGTTCCCCCGTGTTTGATCCACTGCTTGACTCATGCTTGGAAGGAAGGGAGCAAGTCAGGCAGGGTATGGGGAGGCCAGAGGGAAGTGCTTGGAGGGGGGGGGGCAGCTCAGCCTGCACCACTCACAGAGGGACGTGGTGTTTTGCGTGGCTTCTTTCACCCTGCTGGGTACTGCAGGAGTATGTGTGACTTTATCCCTCTAGCACTCCCTTAAGGAAGCTGAATAACCCCATTTTAAGATAATGGAAGTAGCGTAAGCTGTTAAGCAAGCAATAATGTGTCTCCAGCACACCACGGCAGTACCAAGCTGAGATGCTCGAGATACTTCTCACAGATTAGGTGGGGTGCCGGACGTGGCATCTGCTGGTTGTGTCTGCACGGAATAATTTGCTCTGCAAAGAAGCTAACTTGGGTGTGTAAGCATGGTGGCTGTGACAGATGTTAAATGAGCTCAGCTCTCGTTAGGCTGCTAAGAAAGGAAAGACTAAGGGGGTCTGGTGGAGTCCTGGTGAGAAAGCTGCTGACTGGCGTGAAAATCACAAAAGATGATAGTGATGCAGGACCTTTCTTGTCTAAAGCCTGGGGAAAATGTCACCTTAGCTCTGTAAACTTAAAGTAGAAACCGGTGAATGCTAAAGCTAAAGTTTTCATAGCAATAATGGCTTGCCTCTGTTGCTTGGTTACTTATTAGGCTGGTAATTTTCCACTTTTTTATATTCAATAGGCTACAATCTCTTGCCTTTGTAATAATTGGAGTCAGATCACCCCCTTGATCCGGTAGAACTACTGAAAATTTTCTGCAGTTTCACTGAAAGTCAGTCATTATAGGTAAGGGGGAATTAGGGTTTACATGCCCTGTCCACGTATGAACAGGAATGGATATGCTCACCTATCCCTGTCTCACTAGTGTTGAGAAAACTGTATGAATCTAATAGAATAGGAATACATGGAGGGATTAAACCCTCCCTCTCTGTCTGTCTTTAGTTAGAGCAATCAAGATTAACAGATGTCCAATATCTTTTGCCCTAAATACCTCTCTTTTTTTTTTTTTTTTAAAGAAATGCTCTTTTGCACTTCCTGACTTCCTGCTTATGCTAAAATCTAATTCAGAGTACCAGTAGATCTGATGATTTGAAATAGGAATCACTGGCTTTATTAAAAAAAAAAAAACAAACAGTCCAAGTTAGATGATGAAGGTTGCTATAGTAAGTCAGTAGAATTGCATCAATGTTAAGCAATTATAAATGAAAGAACCAAACTCTAACTACACTCTGTAGGATTTGACCTTTAATACACAGCTATTAATACTTCAGCTCCACTCTTTGTACTTCTCAGATCTCCACTCTTGCCTGTTGTCTCCTGTTCCTTTTTCTACTTGGCCCTAACATGTTCAAAACTTACTGTCTAGCCAATGACCTTCTCTACCCACAAATGCTTGTTTTTCTTATTACTTTCTATTTGTTAACTTTCTTTTAAATTTACTAGATGTCAAAACTTGTCAAATATTCTTCCTTTCAGTCCTTTACTGCTTTCAGACCTCCTTCCCCCCTCCCCCCCCCCCCCTCTTTAAAATGCTACTGTTCTTCTCTGCCTATCTCCTGCTGGCACTGGTACATGTACTCAGCAACTTAGGGGAGGCAGTTCTGCTTCTTCAAGTTCAGTAAATGGATCTGCTCAGCATGGAAGATCGGGAGAGTAGCATGGAAGTGACAGAGAGATGCTTTCAAAATTGCCGAGTAAGAAATGGAAGAATGAGCATCTAATGGTGAAGGAAGAGAGGGTAAAATCAGGTGGCAAATCTCTCCTGGATTTGCTTTATTATGTTAGGAATACATTCCTATGACAAGTAATGTGCAATATTTTCTAATAAACTACATCTCATCTTCAGCATTTTACCCTTTGTGCCTGCAAGGCATTTTTTTTTTTTTTTTTTTTTTTTTTTTTTTTTTTTTTTTTTTTTTTTTTTTTTTTTTTTTTTTTTTTTTTTTTTTTTTTTTTTTTTTTTTTTTTTTTTTTTTTTTTTTTTTTTTTTTAGTTTGGGCTTGTGACCTTTCTGATTCATGAAATACAAAAATAGAAAGCTCTTCTGGAGTTTTTTATTTATCTGGTAGTGTTGAATTTTGAAAGCGTATTAGTGTCTATAGATTCTTCTTTGGGGGTTACAAGCAGTGTTTACTCTGACATTTAGTGAAGGGGTCTTCTATTCTCATGACAGCCTTTGCTCCAAAATGCTAAGGAACCACAGAAATTAAAGAAATGACAGCTGCCAACCCTGTGTTTAAGTATATGTTTGTATATTGGTTTTGCTGTGATGCTCACCATTTCATTAATTGTTTTGGTTTTTTTTTTCATGTATAGGTCATCTTTGAAAAGAATGCACTTTTGCAAAGAATGACCTTTACCAGCACTGTTTTCAAGTTTGTAGCAAATGCCATTTTGCTCTCAAGTGAGGTGAGATTCATGTGGAAAAGGCTACTGCTCTTAGATCCTGAAAGCAGTCCCACACCTCTTTCTTCCTGAGCAGGGTAAGCAGATGCTTTCTGCAGGCCTAGGAGGAAGAGTGGCAACTCCCTCTTAGTCAAGACTATAGCTGGGGCCCCAGCCAGGCCTTTCCACAGACATTTTGCACTCTAGAGCAGTCATATCAAACAAAGTGCTTTCCTCTTCTTACATGGGTTGCAATATTGACCTCATCGGTTTATACTTGACCCCCTTATGGACTTCAATCCTTTTACCTGCACAATGCTTCTAAGGCATAAATCCAAAACTAAGAATTACAGAAATTCCCCAAAGGGCACAGATTCATTCTAACATGATCAAAACTACCCTGTATGAAAAAAAGAAATACGGCATCATCAAGACATTTTCTACCACTTATTCTAAACCTTTTGTAGAAAATCTCTATCCAAAAGGATTGAACAGAAATTTCAAAGAAGAAATTGCCATAAGCCTTCTAAGATGTTTGCCACCGAGTTCTCTTTAATGAAAAAAAGATTAGATCTTAAAGCTGTTCTTAATTCTGACATTTTTGTATCAGTGCCATGACAAAAAAAACTCCAGAATTGTTAATGTGTGGATAGAAAACCACATAGCCAGTTACGCATCTCTTACCATCGTGGGTGTGAATAGTTCATTTACTTATCAACAACATATTTCACTCATTTATATACATACATAGATGGATCAGTTATTTACAAGGGGTTAAAGACTACAAAAATATAGTCTGATTTTTCTTGCAAAGTTTGTATTTCCAGATTACTTCTAACACTTAGGTTTTTCCGGTTTTTAGTCAGCAGTAACCAGTGCTGATGTAGTCTCAGATCTGTTAGATGTTTAGCTTAAGTTTTGACAACACGAGCATTCCTGTTAGCTTTGATAGGACTAGGCATTGGGCATAAGCCTGTAAAAGTCTTAGTGAGAGCTGATGCCAAGTCCTTTGCTGTCTAACTCTTGGCAGGAGAATGACCCCAGACTGCATGGGAATAGTAGGGGAAAAAAAAAAGGAAGTACATAGACGCTGTTACTATTCTCCTGAGTCATACAGACTCTAAAAATATTTTAAAAGCTGTACACTTCAAAATTAGAGAGTACATTGAAACCTTCAAATTATTTGTTTTAATAGAGCATGTGCAAATACACACCTCTCCCTCTGTTTTTCTATCTTTATTGAAAAGAATTGTTCCTTAAGCGAAAGACATTTTTGTGGTTAAACACAGAGGAGAATATCTGTTTATTAACTAATAGGAAAACCGTAGCGCTTGATGGCAGCAGGAGCAGCGTCGCATTTCAGTTTGAACAGCTGCTATCGCCGTGGCCAGTCCTGGCAATCCTCTCTGAATGTGCACACAGAATAGGCCCAGACAAGAAGATGTGATTCAGCAGCGTCCCTAGAAAGACTTTTATGACCTATACTGCAGCCACACCCATGTGGCTACACATGAGTCAGCAGAGCAGAAATTAAATTTTCAATGAGTCTAGTGAATTCAGCAAGCAAACAGAACTCGTCGTTTTCTGGTAATTCAGCTCCTCGTTGTGTCACCGACCTTGGGCAAGTTATTCAGCTTTCCAATATTTCATCTTCTATGTTAAATGGATTTAACAAGACCTAATCATCACACAGTATTCTGTAGGCCTCAGTGGAACTGCAGCCGTATAAATGAAGGCAGAATTTAGCACGCAGCCCTGCCACAGTGTTCAGGGGTTCTCAGATGACTTTTGACCAAAATGAAATTTAAATTATGCAGGGATCTGCTAACATTTAATTAAGTGAAACCTCTTACTATTTTGAGAACAATTTCTTAACAAGCAGAATTAGCAGAATTTTTCTGCTGGTATAAACCAATAGTTCCTCCAGGCAGAGCTGGTCTCTTCCCACTCTGATAAGGCTGTAAACTCTTTCTGTGTTTTATGAATCGTTTATCTCCTGATTTCTCATATTTTGGGTGCAATTTTTCCTTTGCTTTGCACAGAAGAACGCATGCAGCTAACAGGGTAAGATGATGGCTGTTATTTTGTTGTACACCCATGAGCTGAATTGCTTAGTAGTTTAAGCCCCTTTGCAACTGTACAAACACAGTGAGAGCAGTAGGAATGCACTCATGTCCCCAAGGACCTAATCTGGCTTGCAAAACTTCCACTAGTGGCACAGATGTGCAAAAAGCAAAAATCCATCTTTACTCTCTGTGCAGAACGTAGATGTAGCTAGGAAATAATATATTAGCATCTATATACTGATTTGTATTTGTGTTCTCAAAGCATTTTATTTACACTGAGTGGTAAGAATCATATCAGTTTATATTTCATATTTGGAAACTGAGCCAAGAAGTGACAAAGTGTTTCCTACAAAATCATCCAGCAAGTCAGCCTTGGAGAGAAATGTGCCTGTTTCACTGGACTGTGTTTGTATATGTCTCCTTATTTATGAACAGCTGTGACTATTAGAATCTATTATTTATATTTCCACCAAGCTTGCTTTTCCCCCTGCAGTAGATACTCTACCGAGGAGACTTGTTGTCATTTTTTTCTGCAGGTACTGTGATTCACTGGGGTATTATGGGCAGTAATGAAGCAGCACTGCAGATACTGTTAAGCAGGGATCTTTGTAAAGCCATTTAAAATTTGTTACCTAAAACCGATGTAGCATTTTAAAACAAAAATGCATGGGTTGTGGGTTTTCAGTGACAAAGCAACTCAGAAAAAGTTTGTTCTGCCTGCATCGTTGACCCCACAACCCCACACCACCAAGCATTTTCAAGCAGTCAGTGTTTACCCTCAGTGCTAGCCGATCGATTTACATGCATACCCTGTACCAACAACACATACACTGAGAGCTGGTTACAACCTTCAGGAGGGAGAATTTGTCACCTGTCCACAATAGTGGCCTAAGGTTTACACTGGTGACAAGCAAATTTCAAAAGGCCCGGAGGACTGGCTTCAGGCCCAGAATTTCAAATCATCGCAGGTTGGCACCTCACTAAAGAAAACAATAATAAAAATGACAGAAATGATCACTGCCAAGGTAGAGAGCTGCCTAGCACAGAGGAGGTGTGTGTAAGGCACTAGTGCTGCATGCCCTGTGATCAGTGGGGGAGCTGTGTTTTAGGAGATTGTGGCTCTGGGGAGATGGTAAAACAGGTTGTGTGAAGAACAAGTGCATAAACTAACTAGCACTGACTGAAGACACAGACATCTGTTTTTAATTTGCATGAAGTTGCTAATTTTTAAAGGACGAATTAGCATATCTCTAATTTTAACTAGGGAGTTGTAATTGGTATTTTCAGAAAACGTGGTAGTTGCTGCAGGCTTTGCAGAGGAATAACCAGTTTCCAGCTCTGCACTGGCCACCTGGAGAAACAAGATCCTTTGGCCAGCAGGAGTAGGTGAGGTCCAGGAACCACTTCACAGGAGGAAACAGCAGGAAAAAACTTTGAAATCCAGCCCCACTTTTTCTCCCTCTCTCAGGAAACAACTTAATTTTTTTGTCAGAGAGTGCAGCATTCTGATTTTCCCCCTGAGCAGCAACAGATGGATTTCAAAGAAATCTCCACTATTACAACAGTATTTCAATCCCTCAGGTGTTTCCTCCCCTTCAGAAAACTAGTAGCTGATTTCATCCTTCAGCTCTAGAATGGATGTCCTTTTTACTGGAGTCCTCAGCTTTGCCTCCCAGTTTTCTCAGCCTCAGGGGTCCTGTATGTCACCACAGAGTCACCTCACAGTCGCCTTACAGCAGCCAGCCTGGTCACACACCAAGAGCTGGGGAACTGTTTGCCTGGTCTCCAGTGGCTGTAGGAGTAGGCTTGGAATGGGAGTGTTTCCTTGTGATGTTGAAACATGAAAAACCAGCAGTGCGATGCATTATCCACCCCGACGAGAACTTGGAATACCTTCTTTAGGCTCTGGCAAAGTGCCTCTAGCTTATCATGCCAGGAAGACATTTTTAAAGTGAATTGGAATTGAAACATTAACTCATTCCCAGAGGGGATAGTTTAGTCTTTTAAGCATTGCATTTAAAATGCACAAATGCTTTCAGTCTTGTAAGATCCACTGAGACTTTCACTACTCTGGGATACCGATGGTGAATCTCATGCAATTTACTTTTCATAGGTTTTTTTTAAACATGAGATCTTAAAAACCAAATAATGCACCTTGTGGTAATTTTTGGGTAAAGATGTGTCCTTTTTGGCTCCATACAGGAGGAACTTGAAAAATTACAATCATTATTTTGTCTGGTCACCTCTACACTGTTTACTGGCTTGCACCATGCGGTGATAGTCACTTTTTAGGCTGCAACCTGTTAGTGTTACAGAGGTTATCAAACTGAACCTTGGTCACTCCTGATACAGCTTCAGTTTTCTATGAGCTAAATTTCCCCTGCCAATGCTTTACATTGGTTGATCTTGTCCCTATCAGCAATTGCCTTAAAGTGATTAGGCAGGCTGTCTATATAATTTGTAAAGTAAT